TTTGTTGTTTGCTCATCTTTCTTTCTTCTCTTTTTTTTATTTACTCTTCTCTTTTTTTTATTTACTCTTTTCTTTCTCCTTCAAGTCCTTTTTTTTTTTTCTCTCTTCAATAATATCAATCATTCAAATTATTTAGTGGCCCATGCAGATGCTTACAATCAAAGAGAGAAGGAAATTCTACAATTGATTGTTTGTCTTATAATTTTAAGATTCTTCTTAATTGTTTTATAATTTTTAAATTGCAACGCAAATTAAAAAGACAAAATTTTACAATTGATTTCATAACAATACTTGATCATCTCTATCAAAAAGTCTCTCACCCTAATTCCCAATTAATATTAGAAACATCCTTTAAGATGATATTATAAAAACTTCCTTTACTTGATTTTAAAACTTTATAAATTTCTCTAAGGCACCAAAACAAAATAATTACAAAGGTGTATATGACGTAAAAAAAAGGTTTTTTAATATGTGAGTTAAGGGTATATATTAAAAGTATAATAAATATATATTTTGTTATAAATTTATATTTAAAAAAATAAAAATTGATATTTAATTTATAATTATCAAATTAAATTTATCCATTTAACACTAATATTAAAATCCTAAAAAATCAATAAAAAGAAAAGAAAAGAAAAGCCCTTTTATCCTTGACGGCACATCAATCCACAAGTGATGGATGCAAGATTTAAAATTATAGGATACTAACTGCAACTAATTTAAAGTACAAGAGGCCCAAATCTAATTTTGCCCTGAGTAGAAAAAGCAAAAGCCCCTTCTTAATTTTTTCCTTACAATAAATACTTTTAGCTTCGCGCAAAAGGAGCGAATGCAATCTTAGCCACCGCCTCAAGCTCTTCATTTTCCAGAACCTTCCTGCAGTTCTAAAACCTCCGTCTCCAAATAAATTACTAAACCTCTCTCTCCGGTGAATCATCTTGTTTCAGCTTGTGATTTTACTGTAATTTTCTAAACAAGGATCCATAACAAATGTTCAAGAAGACTGTAGAGGCGAAGGCGCACCAGAGGCTCTCTGGAGCCGACAAGAAGAAACTCAAACGGACTATCAGGGACAGATTTCCCAAAGCCTCCGATGCTGATATCGACGCTTTGCTTCCTCCCAAGGTACCCTTTTAATGCTATTCACTTTACTGTGTATTATTTTTTATTGGCATTTGGAAATGGAGGAAGTTAGTAACTTTGGTTGTCTTGGCAATTAAATAGTATTTAGAATTTGATTGCATTTGATTGTTTGAAGATGAATTTCATTCTTCGACACAATCGAGTCATTTCATGTCTATTTAGCAGGAAATTGAGTCTACTATCATCGGGATATTATTATTATTTTTTACTGTTTTTTCTCATTGGTTGCATTTGGATTTTGATCAACTGTTTGAATTTGTATCTTATTGGAATAAAGGTTTGATATTTATCTTTTTGACTATGATCATTCTCCAGAAATATGTATTCTTGATTGGGAATAAATTAATAAACAAAAGGGTAAGAGTTAGACTAATTAGGCTTTATTATTTTGGTAGGCACCAAGAATTAAATGCCAATCAAAACTTATATGGAGAAAGAAAGGGAAAAGGCAAAAAAAAAAAAAAAAGGGAGGGAAACTCAGTGATTAGTTTTGTGGTGCTCAACATGACTGCATCATTTTGTCCCTTTGGAATATGATAATTTAGGAAATTCTACATGAACAATATGCTTGCCTCCAAATAATCCATGCTTAATGTTTCTTTTTTGCAGCCAGAGAGTTCCGTTGGTTTATTGTGATAATTGCTTATGCACTAATCCAGGGAAACTCAGTGATTAGTTTTGTGGTGCTCAACATGACTGCATTATTTTGTCCCTTTGGAATATGATAATTTAGGACATTCTACATGAACAATATGCCTGCCTCCAAATAATCCATGCTTAATGTTTCTTTTTTGCAGCCAGAAAGTTCCGTTGGTTTATTGTGATAATTGCTTATGCACTAATCCAGGGAAACTCAGTGATTAGTTTTGTGGTGCTCAACATGACTGCATCATTTTGT